GGGCCCTTGAGATTGAGGGGGAGAGACCATTATCATAGTTCCTTGGCCCCTTTAAACCTTGGATTTTCTTCTGTGTCCTAGTGCATGTAGGGCTGGTGTGGGTCTGTGGACCCTGGGCTCACTGAAGTTGCAAGCCTACCAAGGCCATTGGACCTGCCTGCCATGGTGTCTGGACTCTGCTTTGGTTCAGGCTTTTAGTGTAGGGTGGGAACATAAGCCATGTCATTCTTGAGTTTGTTTGACCTGGAGAACTTCCCTGCAGCAATTCTGCTGTTTGGCAGAGTTCTACTGTTGTCTCCTTTACATGCTAGTTGCTCTTTTAAACCATGTTTTTTTTTCCTGTGCCCAAGGACAGAGGGGTCTGTTCCTAGTCTATTAGTAGTATTCCTCCTCATCGCAGTTCGTAGGCAGTGTTGGGTGTAGGGGTTCCCTTTGTTACTTTGTCTCCATCTCTCTTGTTCTTCTGTCTTTGTTTCTTCAATAGTGATTCAGGCAGCCCTTAGTTTTTCTTCAGGAGGGGTTGTTCTATTAATAGGTGTAGTTTGGTCTGTTCCTTGGAGGAGGTGAGTTCAGCCTTCCTATGTTTGCCATCTTGAACTGAAACCTTAATCCTTTTTTTATTATTGGATTTATGCTGTGGAGGCCGAGAAAAATCAAGGCCATTCCACCTCAAGTTTAGCATTAGCACAAGTACAGCCATCTTAGGCCCCTGTGAATAAGAGCTGAACTTTACAGGAAAAACTTCAGAATGTCCTCAGCAGGGAATCCCATATCAGAAAGACAACAGAGCTCAGAATTGCCGTAGGCAGAGAATCCTGTATCAGAAAGAAACAGAGACCATGCCCGTGGTAGAAAGTCCCATATTAGAATGAGAACAGAGCTCAATGCTCTTGAAAGCCCCATATTAAAATGAGAACAGAGCTCAATGCCCTTGAAAGCCCCATATTAGAATGTAAACAGAACTTGAGAAATTCCTCCACCCCTTTTGAAAATCCCCTAGACCAGCCTATAAAAAAACCAGCTGTAACCCACTTCGGGGTCCAAGTCCCTGCTCTGCTGTGTTGGGCACACTTGGACCCAAGCTCAAGCTTGTAAATAAACCCTCGTGCGCTTGCATCGGTGTCAGCTCCTTGGTGGTTTCTTGGATTCGCAATATTGGGCACAACAATGCTTGGTACTATAGCCATAGCTTAGGTTTGTTTAGGAATCCTTTTTTAATATCCATATATGATTTCTCTTTGTCTTAACTCTCTCCCTTTCTTATTGGCTTGTGATGTATTTGAGAAGACCTTATCTGGAAGTTCAGCCATCCTATCATCTACCTGCTGGAAACAGCCTTGACTTGAATCTAAAATGAGTAGGCTTCTAGGTGGCAAATAGCTGCAGTTCAGTCCTTAATTCTTCAAAGAGAGTGGGCCCTCATGTGGCACAGTGAAAGTGACATAGGATTTTGGAGTCAGGAGGTTGACCTACAAATCTCATTTCTACCTATAAGAATACCTCAGTTGGAGATAAGACTAATTTTATAGTGTTATAGGGGGATATGAAGAAGAAATTCATAGGGAAATGTTTCATAATGCTCGTGAGCTTTATTTCTTAATTTTTGATTATTGTGAGACCACAGAATTATTTTAGCTACCTTGGAAGTCCTTGAAAAGCAAATATTAGGAAGGGCAGATTTATGTTTCTGATGTTATTTTGCAATTCTGATTTAAGGTTATTTTCGATTTCTCAGTATTTGGAAAAAAGAAAGCCTCAAATGGAGGTACCCAAGGCATTGTTTAATTTCCCCTTATTTAATAGGATATCAAAGTAATGCAGCCTCCTGACCTCTGTATTGCAATTATGGGCTCTGCATTTGCTGAATCCTGGGCAGGAAAGTGAGAGGAGCTTTTTTTATCATATCCAAAGCCACCTTTCCTGGGAGGCCTGAGCTTCTAAGCCTAGGATTCCATGCCTCAGCTTATGAACCATCCAGTAGGGCAAAACAGAAATGGTGCTTTAAACTATGTCCTAGTGGAATATCCCTTGCTCTGGATTGCTTTGTATCTGTCCAAAATGAAGAGAGCTAGGGAAGAGCCTGATCCCAAGAGTTTAAAAAAATTCCTTCAAGAAGAATGTGATGTCTTGGTAAAAATTAGGATGGAAATAGTAAGCAGTCCCTTCCTATGGAGATCTTTTGGCTCATGATGTGATCATTTTTTTTTTATTTTATGTTTTTTTTTAAATTTAAATTCAATTAATTAACATATATTATTAGTTTTACAGGTAGAGTTCAGTGATTGATCAGTCTTATATAATACCCAGTGCTCATTATATTATGTGCCCTCCTTAAGTATTTTGATTTAATCCAGATTCATTGTTTACTTTGGAAACCATAGATTAGTAACTGGTGAGTGTGACAGTTTGAAATGTTGACAGGCAACAAATTTCTTTTCCTTTTTTAAAAAAATCTTTTTTTTTTCATTATGGTAAGTGTACTTTTTAATCTCCATCTCCTGTTTCCCACATCCCCTGACCTACCTCCGCTCTAGTAACCATCAATTTGTTCTTTATAGTTAATAGTCTGTTTCTTGGTTGTTTCTCTTTTTTTTTCCTTTCTCCAGTTGTTTGTTTTGTTTATTTAATTCTATATATGAGTAAAATCATATGGTATTTGTCTTTCTCTGACTAGCTTATTAGGTCTATTTATGTTGTTGCAAATGGCAGGATATCATTTTTATGGTATGATAATATTCTATTGTGTGTGTATATATATATTTATACATATATATATGTTGCACCACATTTTCTTTATTCATCTATTTATGGACATTTGGACTGCTTTCATAATTTGGCTATTAGTAATGCTACAATAAACATAGGGGTGCATATATCCCTTTGAATCATTGTTTTTATATTTTGGGGGTAAATATCCAGTTGTGTGATTACTGGATTATAGGACAGTTCTATTTTTAATTTTTTAAGGAACCTCTGTATGTTTTCCACAATGGCTGAACATATTTGTATTACTACCAACAGTATAAGAGAGTTTCTTTTTCTCCAATATCCTTACCAACACCTGTTGTGTTTTTTATTTTAGCCATTCCAGTAGGTCTGAACTGGCATCTCATTGTAGTTTTGCTTTACATTTCCTGAGTAAGGAGTGAATGAGGTTGAACATATTTTCATGTGTCTGTTGGCCATCTGTATGTCTTTTTTTGAAAAATGTCTATTCATGTCTTCTACCCATTTCTAAAATAGATTATTTGTTTTTTGGGGTGTTGAGTTTGATAAATTATTATTTTTTAAATATTTTATTTATTCATGAGAGGCACACACACAGAGAGAGAGAGAAAGAGGCAGAGGGAGAAGCAGGCTCCATGCAGGGAGCCTGATGTGGGACTCGATCCTGGGACTCCAGGATCGTGTGCTGGGCCGAAGGCAGGTGCCATACCGCTGAGCCACTTAGGGATCTACCAAGTTTGATAAATTCTTTATAGATTTTGGATACTAATACTTTATCAGATATGTCATTTGCAGATATCTCCCATTCCATAGGTTGCTTTTTAGTTGTGTTGATTGTTTCCTTAACTTTGCAGAAGCTTTTTATCTTGATGAAGTCCCAATAACTCATTTTTGCTTTTGTTTCTCTTGCCTCTGGAGACCTGTCTAGTGAAAACTTTCTATAGCCAATGTCAGAGAGATTACTGCCTGTGTTTTCTTCAAGAATTTTTATGGTTTCAGGTCTCACATTTAGCTCTTTAATCCATTTTGAGTTTATTTTTGTGTTTGGTGAAAGAAAGTGATTCAGTTTCATTCTTTTGCATGTAGTTCTCTAGTTTTCTCAACACTATTTGTTGAAGAGATTGTCTGTTTCCCATTGAATATTCTTTCCTGCTTTGTCAAAGAGTAAATGACAATATAATTATGGGTTTATTTCTGGGTTTTCTGTTCTATTCCATTATTCTTATGTATCTGTTTTTATTCTAGTACCATACTGTTTTAATTACTACTGCTTTGTAATATAATTTGTAATCTAGAATTGTGATACCTCTAGTTTTGTTTTTCTTTTACAAGATTGCTTTGGCTATTTGAGGTCTTCTGTGGTCCCGTACAAAGTTTAGGATTTTTTTTGTTCTAGTTGTGTGAAAAATGCTGTTGGTATTTTGATAGGGATAGCATTACATCTGTAGATTGGTAGTATAGACATTTTAACAACATTTGTTCTTCTAACCCATGAGCATGGAAGATCTTTTCATTTTTTGCATTGTCTTGAATTTCTTTCATCAGTTTTCTGTAGTTTTCAGAGTACAGGTCTTTCATCTCTTTGGTTAAGTTTATTCTTGGATGTTTTATTGGTTTTGGTACAATTGTAAATGGGGTTGGCAGGCAACATTTATAACAAATCGACTATGTGATTAGCCTTATATTTAAAGTCCTCCAGGAAATGGACTTAGGGTGCTTTGTAGAGCCATCTTTTTTTTTTTTTTTCAGTTTTCATTTATTTTTAGCTCTTGGGGTATCTTTTCAATATGAAAAAAAAACCAAGTTCAACACAAAGTAGAAATTTGAAATGTAGGACAGGACAAAAATCAAGAGTGTGTGGGAAAAGGGAATAGCAGAAGGAAGAGCTGAGGTGTTGCCAAAAGGTGGAGGGTCTCCTTGTCCCAAATGATTTAGGTGGCAATACACACTTTTCCATATGTACACAGCAGAGCTGGAGTTTTGTTAAGAAAAAGTGGGTAGTGTGAGGGGTCTTTTCCAGAGAGTAGGGATCAAGGCTAGTCCCTTTTTCGCCAGGGGAAAAGGAAGGAGTCCAACATGTGAAGCAGTTTATGTAGGAGGGAAGGATCCCATTCAACAGAGTGGCACAGACCCCTGCAAAAGAAACCGTTCAGGACAGAACTTGGAAGAAGACTAAAAAAACCAAGACAGGCAGAGAAGGCAAATTCTGAGGGAGAGGACAGGGGCAGCTGAAGAAGAGGGAATGGAGAAGCCTGAGGTGATGGTACTCTGACTTAAGCCTCCTCTTCGGCCTCCTCACCAAAATCCTCCTCTTCTTCTGCGATGGCATCCTGGTACTGCTGATACTCAGAGACAAGGTCGTTCATGTTGCTCTCAGCTTCGGTGAACTCCATCTCGTCCATGCCTTAACCTGCGTACCAGTGGAGGAAGGCCTTACGCCGGAACATGGCTGTGAACTGCTCTGAGATGCGCTTGAAAAGCTCCTGGATGGCCGTGCTATTTCCAATGAAGGTGACTGCCATCTTGAGGCCACAGGGCCACAGCGGTCTTGACATTGTTAGGGATCCATTCCACGAAGTAACTACTATTCTTATTATGCACGTTGAGCATCTGCTCATCTACCTCCTTCATGGACATCCACCCATGGAAGACAGCAGCCACAGTGAGGTAATGGCCATGGCGGGGGTCACAGGCAGCCATCATGTTCTTGGCATCAGAGACCTGCTGGGTGAGTTCAGGCACAGTGAGGGCCTGGCTCAGCCACACTGCTGGCTTCCACGGCTGGTCACAGGTGCAGAGTCAGGCATGAAGAAGTGAAGACACGGGAAGGTCACCATGTTGACTGCCAGCTTGCGGAGGTCAGCATTGAGCTGACCAGGGAAGCGGAAGCAGGTGGTGACACCATTCATGGTGGCTGAGACAAGGTGGTTGAGGTCCCCATAGGTTGGCGTGGTCAGCTTGAGGGTGCGGAAGCAGATGTCATACAGGGCCTCATTGTCAATGTAATAGATCTCATCTGTGTTCTCTACCAACTGATGGATGGAGAGGGTGACATTGTAGGGCTCAACCACTGTGTCAGACACTTTGGGGGAGGGCACCACACTGAAGGTGTTCATGATGCGGTCAAGGTACTCTTCTCGGATCTTGCTGATGAGCAGCGTGCCCATGCCAGAGCCCGTGCCCCCGCCCAGTGAGTGGGTCAGCTGGAAGCCCTGCAGGCAGTCACAGCTCTCAGCTTCCTTCTGCACCACATCCAGGATTGAGTCCACTAGCTCAGCCCCCTCTGTGTAGTGGCTCTTGGCCCAGTTGTTGCCAGCCCCAGACTGCCCAAAAACAAAGTTTTCTGGTCTGAATATCTGCCGTAAAGAACCTGAGCGAACAGAGTCCATGGTCCTGGGTTCTAGATCCACCAACATAGGGCAAGGTACGTATTTGTCACCTGTAGCTTCATTGTAGTACATGGAGATACGATCCAGCTACAGGTCATTGTCACCATGGTAGGTTCTGGTGGGATCGATGCCGTGTTCATCACTGATGACCTCCCAGAACTTGGCACCTGTCTGGTCACCACATTGACCGGCCTGGATGTGCACAATTTCCCTTATTGTTAAAATTTATTTTAATTCTTTTTGCTTCTCTCAAAGGTGTGTATGGGGTGGAAAGTGAGATGTGGTTTTTTCCTATACTGCTATTCGCAGGCTGGAAGGATGGGATGTGTCCAGAGGCTGGAGCAATGAGGTCCGAGCACAGTGACAGGAACGTTCTCTGTAGAGCCATCTTGTATTGGGCTGGGAGATGGTTTCTGAGAGCACAGATATAGTTGTTGAAGGAATTAGAGGATATGCATATAGGGTATGAGAGCAGAAAGGAGAAAGCCTCCAAACTGCCAGGCATCTAATGTGGATGCTCTCCAGATCATGTTGTTCCTATTCCCCCAAGTATAGATAAGTCAATTAAAAATGATTTAAGGGACGCCTGGGCGGCTCAGTGGTTGAGCACCTGCCTTCAGCTCAGGTCGTGATCCTGGGATCTGGGATCAAGTCTAGCATCGGGCTCCCTGTGAAGAGCCTGATTCTCTTTCTGCCTGTGTTTCTGCCTCTCTCTCTCAATCTCTTTCATGAATAAATAAATAAATATTTAAAAAAGAAAAATGATTTAAAAATGAAAATAAATTGAGAGTACATTCTAGAGAAATATGAAAGGGTTAAAATAATAGAAAGTAAAATAAATGAAATGCATAAGAAGCTGAAAACAACAAAGGAAAGAGAAATGAATTAGGATAAGAAAACTTTGAAATTCCAGCAGAAACATTAACAATTTCAACATGAAATAAGGACAAACTAGAAGTTGTACCTCCTGTTTCCAGGACAGGAACCTGCAGTATCTCCAAGTTTCCTCCACACAACCTTAAAAAAGGTTTTTGCAAATTTGTCTTTACAAATTGTCATAACTAATTTCCTTCCTTCCTTCCTTCCTTCCTTCCTTCCTTCCTTCCTTCCTTCCTTCCTTCCTTCCTTCTTAATGAGAGACACACAGAGAGAGGCAGAGACACAGACAGAGGGAGAAGTAGGCTCCCTGCAGGGACCCCAGTGTGAGACTCTGTTCCAGGACCTGGGATCATGCCCTGAGCCAAAGGCAGATGCTCAACCACTGAGCCACCCAGGCTTTCCAAATTATCATTACTTCTTGAGGGCAAGAGCCATAACTGCCCTGTCTTTGTATTCTAGCACTTAGCTATAGTATCTCACATATAGTATGTACATTATAAATGTTTGCTGAATAAGTAAGACAGTGAAATAATGGGGATCATAAGGGAATTTTATGATCACTAAGAATATAGGAAATCTGCTTTATAGACTCTAGTGGGGACATTACCTAGAACAGGCATTTCCATATTGCAATACCAGATCATAATTCTGACTGTGTTTTGAGAAAACATTAAATTGAAAACAGAGAGGGAGGCAAACCATAAGAGACTCTTAACTGCAGGAAACAAACTGAAGGTTGCTGGAGGAGTGGTGGATGGGATGGGGCAATTGGATCATGGACATTAAGGAGGGCACTTGATGTAATGAGCAGTGGGTTAACACTGTCATCAGTTATGCAACTGATGAATCACTAAATTCTACCCCTGAAATGAATAATACAGTATATGTTACCTAAATTGAATTTAAATTAAAAAATATTAAAAAAAATAAAAAAAAATAAAAAAAAAATTATGGGGTACCTGAGTGGCTCAGTTAGTTAAGTATCTGCCTTTGGCTCAGGTCATGATCTCAGGGTCCTAGGATCAAGCCCCAGAGCAGGCTCCATGATCAGTGGGGAGTCTGCTTGTCTATCTGCTCCTCCCCATACTGGGATGCTCTCTCTTTCTCTGAAATAAAGAAAGGAATAAAAAATATTTTTAAAAAAGAGAAAGCATTATATTGTTATTTCGTTGTTTGGTTAGACAGTTAAGTATCTGATATTTGTTAAGAATTCTAGGAAAGAGTAGTAAAGGTACTAAATTTTATATTCACCTTTACATAAAACTTATTAATGCCAGGAAATGAGGGCTTGCTGTAGAATTTCCCAGCTTCCTTTCTTTATGTCTCTAAAATAATTTTTATCATAGAGTACTTCTTCATTGAATTCTATTTTAAAATGCTTAGACTTAAAAAAATCCAAACCTATCTTTAACTATACTAGCAAAGAATTTCTGAAGCAATTTGGCTCACTTTAGGGCCATGTTCAACATTAAACTGAATTCTTTTTAATGGTAATACTATTTTCTCTCATGCTTTATGGTCATTTGGAGTATTGTTAAAAAAGTATGTAATCTTCCAATATATCTTACTATAGGAATTTCCTCTTAAATTATAAAAAACTATCTCAACTTTACTTTGGTTTATTCTTGTGGATAATGTATAATGAAGTTAAGGTATCAATATAGAATTCCTAGATTTGTTATCTAATCCTATTTTAAAAATCTTGGGAATACTATTTCCATTTTTTTACTTCATGTAAAATTATATTTAGGAAAATATTAACAATTGCAGTTGAAAAATTATTTTTTTCTGTATATAAACATGCTCCTTGAACATGATTGGCTGTATAGAGAAATATGACAGGATAAATTCCAAAGGTTTTGTGTGAGATATAGTTGTGCTTTCTGCTAAACAGAAGAAAGTGGGACGTAAAATGTGTATCTTGCCCTATTCTTTGGAAGGGATTATAGTACTGATTTGGGGTGATTAGTGTCTCTTGGTGGCATATGTGACACATGAATCAAATGCTGTTTTGTTCAGACTGTGCTGACATAGTGTCTACACCATCACTTTCCAGTATTACTCTCTGCAGTGATGGAACTGTGCCCTCTCTGTGCTGTCAAACAGTAGTCACATATAGCTCTTGAATGCTTGAAATATGGCCAGTGTGACTAAGTTACTGAATGTTTCATTATGTTTCATTTTAGTTAATTAAAATTTAAATCATGTATGCTAGTGGCTACTCTGTTAGACTTTTAATTTGATTTCTTATTCCTATAGTAAAAAAATAACATAATTTGAGTTAGAAAAAATCATGTTAAGTGTGCACAGGTTCTCTTTGTATCTGCGTAGTTGATTCTGTTATGATATTTTTGGAGATGAGGCAGTAGAGTATGGAATAGGAAGGCTTGTGTTCTCATCTGGCTATGCCATTAAGCAGCTTGGGCAAATTATCTCTCTAGATAATTTCCTTGCCTGGAAAATGAGGAGTCTGTTGATTTTCAAATTTATATTTAGTATTGGGACTTTTTTCTTAAAAACGAAGCCAGACAAACTGAGCAGAAACCTCATAGATAAGACAAGTGAAATTAGAAGTGGGTTGGGATTAGGAATGCTGTCCCTTAAATTTAACCTTTTTCTCTCAGTAATTCCCGATCTCCTCTACTACAGTAGAGAGCCTAATTTAGAAAGTGTTGGGAGTGGATGGAAATGCAGGGTTCCTTCTAGTTCTGATAAAGTATGGTTTTTATAGGATTGCATATAGAGTTTTCTTTTTATTGATATCATCTAGGAAGTAATAATTCTTCAAAGGCCAGTCTTTACATGTGTTTTGACTAAACTCAAATCATTACAGTTGAATTGGAGGGATACTCAGGACATTCAATAGGGAGAGGTTTCTGTTCTCTTAGCTCACCAAAAATGAAACTAAAACCGAGAGCTGAATGGCCATAGGAGATACAGGCAGGTCCAAATAACTTTTGCATGCTCTTTTGAAAAAAATAGCAATTTAATTTTCTACCTTTCTGAATGGTTTTATTATTTTGATACTTTCAGGACTGAGTTTCATAAAACTATCATTGAAGTGGTTAAATTTGTATTATTAGTGGTTTACTCTGGTCTCTGTGTGGGTTCAAGGAACTCATGCTTCCCTCTCCCTCCCTTCTAGGGAAAAGTAGCTCATATGTGGAATGGAGTCCTTAGGTACATATAACTGGACTGTGGGGTTGGAATTGGCCTAATAGGGAAAATTTGAGAGGTAAGTATAAAGAGGGTAAAAGGGCTTTTTTCACATGATTCTTTTGGAAATGGTAATATATTTTGGATCTCTTCCTTTTCCCTTCCTTTCCATTGCCCTCTCTTCTCTCCAGTATGCCTAATGAGAAGGACTCTGGACTATCTCTCCTTTCACTTTTGCGTTTGGGAAGCCTAACAGGCACTAGGGTAGGGAATAGAAGGCACATGGAGAGTCCGACTGTAGCTTTGGCTGGCCAAGTAGTCTTTGTATTTATACATGACCTTCCAAACTCACCAAATAGGAGAGATGTTAGGGGCGTAGGACCAAAAACTTGCTCTTATGGATATCTGATAAGGAGTTAATTAAAGAATCAGAGACTTGAGAGATTCAGTCAGCCTTTTCATGTGTGAAGACTAAGACATTACATCACACTATGATTTTAAATGTCTTGATGGGAAGGATGGTTTGTTGTCTCTGAGGGCACAGTGTTTTATAGCAACTTCAGTGCTCTGAAAGCTTTTAATTAAATAAAATTTATGTTTCTTCTCTAGGCCTTCTTGGAATTTAGCAAGAGAGACAAAGAGAGAAAAAAGAGAGAAAAATGAGAAAAAAAAAAGTGAAAATAGGCAAGCATTTTGTTTATGCTTCTGGACAACATGGCTCAAGGTTATTCTACTGTGTTAACTATACATTGAGGACAGCTGAACCCATCTGGTTTTCTCCTTCTTCCTTGAGTATTCCTTTTTGGATCTTTAGCTCCTATTACACTGAATATAGGAAAACTCATTGAAAAAATGTTTAACATATTAAACATGAGAATTGGATTGTTTGCATTAAAGTTGAAGATGAATGTATGGATGACAGGTGTTTGATAGAATGAGTCAATTTTAGTTGCAAAATACAAGACACTAATAGGTCTCTAAGACTTTACAAAGGATTGCTACACACAGTGTCTTATTTTTCTCACATCAATTCTGTAGGTAAATACTATTTC